TGAGGGCAGAGTCCTCTGTCTGTCCTTGAGTGAATTCTTCTACATGATCAGGACCCCCAACTGTGGAGGGCTCATGATCATGTGGAGAAGCTGCAAGGACTCCTCAAGGCGCAGGGGTGGAGGCAAAGCACACTTCCCTTCCCTTTAAATGCATGGTGCCTCTTCACGCGAGGAAGATGCCTCCTTTCCTTTGAGCCAGCCATACACACCTTTGCAGAACACGGCAGCAGCAACTAGAGCAGACCACTTAAGCCAAGTGGAGTGGATGGCTCAGCAGGGGCTTGATAAACCTGCTAATCTGGCTCACTGCAACTGGAAAACGGGAGTTGTCAAACACCGGGCAAGCCACAACCTGCTTAGTGGCTCTTACATTGCACAGGCATGTGCTACAGGTAAAATACTGTTCCTGAAAAGAATCACTCTGCTTTTTTTCCACCAGCACTTGACCTCCTATAAAGATATCATCCTTCACTGCTTCCATGGAAAACAAACTCCAATTAATATTCCATCCATTAAAAATATACTATGGGAAGGCATTACAGGTCCATCTATCAGAAATTTGTCTGCTGCCAGCACTGAATTCGTCAGGCTTCTAAAATATGATAGATGGACAACTATTGATGCATGATTTTACACATTTTCTACCTCACTGACTGACCTTACTGGAAAGAAATCAGATAGGTGTTCCAGGGAAGATTCAATTTGAAATGGTTCATTTGTAGTTTAGTGCAGGTGCTAAACATTCTGTGAAAATACAGCATCCTTTGCTGCTAGGCATCAACATATGACATGAATATTAGCAAAATCTAAGAATTATCTCCACCTTTTATACCCTGAAGCAATATGATGCAATGCAGATAAAGGTAAATGTGCTCCAGTAATATTGAGATCAGTAGGATATTCAGCCTCAAATCCTCATTCAACTTGAAATAATAATAATCTAAGTTACCACTCTACAATCCTGCAAGGTAGGTATCTCCAGATTGCCAAAGGGAAACTGAGGGAAGATCTGGATCAATACCTTCCATGTTAAAGTCCACTCATGTACCTAATCCTACACACAGGAAATGAGGTGACTTTTCAGTATGCTAAGGAGCAAGACAGCAGTACTTTAAATGTGTGTTTAATAACTACATTTTTTAAAACTCTAGAGTAGCCACTGGAGCAATGTGTTCTGGACTAAATCATGCAAGAACTACACAGATTGAAGGCTCCTGTTTCCCACCAGGGGGATGAAAACAGTGATGAAGGGAACAGACAGGCAAAAGTATTGTCCATATCTGGGTTGGGGAATGACGAGCTGGGAAGCCAAGCCTGGCCCGTCTGAGATCCCAATCCAGTTCCCCAGCTGTCCCTAAACGGCCACACACCCCTTCTCCTAATTACCATTTGGTGATTTTCTAGTCAGAACAGTTTTGTACAGGGACAGAACAGCTTTGAATCTCTCTGATGAAAGGAGACATCACTAATCGACAGAAAAGGTCACACCTAGGCAGAAGCAGCTGATGGGGCAGCAAAGTGACAACAGGGGATGGGGCTTAGGGCCATATTTGTATGCATTTCCTAAGAATTATGGCTTCTCCCATTCTATTCATCCCTGAGATGGAGTTCCTAAATGCTGGGGATCAGCAAACTAAGGGAGAATCTGAGAAGAAAACCAGCAGGTAATACTGGCCTTGCAGCAGGTTTCTCAAGTCAGCCTGCTACACACAGGAAAACAATCAAAACTATCTGCACTTGTGATGACTGCATTGCATCCTTTCTCTTACCACATGCCAGAACAAGGTTAACAGCATAGGCGTTCCCATGATATACACAGGTGATTATATGCAGTCTTAACCTGTTAGGACTTCAGCACAAGACTCAACTGAAAAAAAAATACCCCCACCCCAGCAAAATTCATATGCCAATGCTTCAACAAGCACCCTGGAGAATCTACACTTCTTTTATTCATGGCAATTCTCCATGAGCTCCACGTAGCGTTTTAACACTAACTGTCCATTGCAAGGACAATTGTATTTACATCTTACTTACTCAGACTGTGTGACAAATTGTAGGGTTCACAGACCAGACTTCCATACCATAGTTTTCGAAGGAAGCAGTTAAGACATTAAGCTACATATATTACATGGATGTCTTCATTTTACAGGCACAGTATTAGCTTCACATTGTAATCCATAATCTTTTTCAGTTAGGTCTTACTAATTTGATCGATTACCTCAATAAACTTAGCTCTGATGCATTGCTAAACTGGTCAGCTGTTAAGTACTTCTTTGTGGAGCTTCACTATTGCAGGTATTATCTTGCTTATTTGTGAGTGTGAGGCATTCAAGGTTTCCACATACATTTCCCCATTTTTATTGGAAACAGTGTTCCAAAACTCCTGGACAAACTTTCCAACCTGATCTTTAAAATCTTCCATATTTTGTCTTTCCCCTCCTTTTTCTGTTAGCTCCTGAGAGACACCTACCTGTGACCTTTTTATCAAGCTAAGGCTGATCTAAATGTCTTGATATCACCAAATTCCTACAAATTGAGAGACAGTGAAAACCTTCCCAGGAAAGGGAAGCACAGGTTAAGTGAATCTTCAAACAGTTCCATTCAAATGCTTGTACGTACTGGGACAAAATGTAAGCTAAATATGCTCATTCATCTTATTTTTTTGGTTTTTTCTGATGCAATCGAACCATAATTTGTATAAGAAGTTTTTCAATTCAACATTCTGCATAAAATTTGCATCACTGCCCTTATTCTTTTGGCTAAGACTGATCCAAATGTCTGATTGCCCACCCTGAACTTCTTCACATTCAGGGACAGTGAGGACACTTCCAAAGGAGTAGGAACTGAGGATCAGGTCAGAGTGGTGAAACTTCAGGTGCAGTGGGGATAATTTGTAAATTTACTGGTGAGAAAGCGTCTGAACGCTTTTTTCCTTCCTTCCACAATTTTCTTTTTTAAAAGTCTGCTAAAGGTAAAACCTGTGGCAAATAATAGTAACACAACCAACTGCTGTCTCACATTCTGGCCCTCACACTGAACTGGGATGTCCCACTAGAAAATGACATCCTGTTGTTCAGGAGTAATTAAGGGAAAAAAGTTGGCTGTTTCTATGGACCACATTGTAACTGAATGTTTACCAATTTTACTCCCCTGCTAAAAAATCAGCTGTTTTTCATCTATTCCTAGGAATGTCCCTGAAGGTTCAACAAAGGTAGGCAGTGACCAACCTCCAGTTCTCCAGCTTCAGTTACCTGAAATGTCTCTATCCTTTCTGGGTTTTGCCTATGCCTGAGACTGCCTCCATGAAGCCTGTGTAATGCTTTTTCTTTCTTCCTCAAACTTAACACTGTTGTGAAGCTTTTGCCACAGCACTGCATATACCCTGAAATTAGGCCTAACTATTAGCCTTTGTTTCCCTGGAGACCAAAACCAAGATCACTGCCGCTATGTATGGATTTGAAAGATGGGTGGTGAGGAAAGCTGACAGGAAGAAAATGGATGCCTCTGAAACATGATGCTGGAGGAGAGCTTTACAAATTCCCTGGACTGACAGAAAGATGAGGAAGTCGGTCCTAGACCAAATCAAGCCAGACCTTTCCCTAGTAGCAAAAAGGGCAATGCTGAGGCTGTCCTACTTCGGGCACACTGTGAGATGGCAGAACTCCCTGGGGAAGAGTATCAGAGGGATTGGCTCCATTAGAGAAGCCACAGACTTTAATTTGGAAGAGCTGAGCAGGGCTGTCATGCACAGGTCATTTTGGAGAGCTTTCATTCACAGGGTCCCTGTAAGTTATGCTTGAATATGTAAAGCTGCAACAATGCACATTCTTTCCTTATTTATACTGGCTTCATTCCATCCCCTCCACTATCTACACACTTGAGATGTTAGACTGCAAACTGCTTAAAGGCAGCATTTTTTCCCCTCTGTAAAAGGCCATGCGGACAGAAGATGCTACATAAATAACTCTGTACTGTGAATACTACTGTCCCAACAAAGAACTATTATTTGACTGTCACTTGAACTTACATTGTTCAACCACAATCCTTAGTTAAAACTATGGAATTCATTTCCACAAAATGTAGTGATGGGCACCAACTTGGGATGGCTTGAAAAGAGGAGGGAATTAGACAAACTCATGGAGGATAACACAGTCAATGGCTACTCATCATGGTGGCTCCCTATTTCCTCCAGTATGAGAGGCAGTAACTTCTGAATGCCAGCTGCGGAGGAGCATGGGTTGGAGAGTACACTTACATCCATGCCTGCTTCTGTGTTTCCCAGGGGCATGTGATTGGCTGCTCTGTGAACAGAATGCTGGACTGGACAGGCCTTTGGCCTGATCCAGCTTAGATCTTCTTAGGTTCTTATGCATAAAGCAGCTTTACCTACTTACCAGCTGACTTCCTTTTCTTTTTGTTTACATGATTAAGAGCTTAAGCATCTTCTATTAGCCTTTTAAAATCCAATCGAAATGCTAAAAAGATCAGGTGTGACCACCCACTGAATCTCCCAAGGTGAAGGACTGTACTGTGCTTCAGAAGATTAATTTAAGATAATGAAGCAGGAATCTTTAGGTAAGGAAATATAATTGCATTTTAAAAAATCCCTTTTGTCACTGCTATAGGCTACTTGACCTATATCCTAATGATAATGCTGAATGCTAATTAAATACTATTTTAAAGCTTGGACTAGATGAAAGAGAAACAAATACAACGTGGGGGAGTTAAGCCATGATTTTCTGGAATTTTAATTTTTAATATCACTCAACAGAAACAAATTTGTAAAGTGCTGGATACTCAGAAATATAAGTCAAGGAGGGAAATAGAAAAGTAATTCAGGTAGAAATGCTTTGCATCACCTTAAAGTAAAAGGAAGAAGACCACAATACATGGGACCTATGAGGATTTATCAGGTAGATGGGGTTATTCAGGTAAATGGGGACCAAACCATCAATAAAAAGAACAACAACAACTTAGAGTACCAACCAACTATTCTTCACCTTTGTGGTTGGTTAACTCAACTTGCGTTGGCAAAACTGAAGGATGTGCTACAACAAACCTCATGATAAAGAACAAATGTTGAGCCTGGCAACCTGAGCCAAGCCTTCCTGGTACACAATGGAAAAGAGAAGTAGAGTTGGGTGTCCTCTGCATATTAGTGACACTAAGATTAAATAACTAGGAACTCTTTATAATCAGGTGTAGATAACATCAAACTTTTCAAAGTCCATAGATTAGCATCTCCCATGCTTCCAACTGCAGAAGCTCTCTTCTGAATTAAGACTAGAAGCACACTTCACCATTACAGCCTGTAAAAACAATGGTGGAGCTCCCCTATGGAGTGTCTCTGTATGACTCCCTGATCTGGGTGTGCCTCCAAAAGAGCGGCAGAATAATTGACTATGTCTCTGCATCAGAAGTGCTGTGCCCAGCAGACTCACTCATCCCCAGCCAAGGCTGCTAAGAAAGAGGGTAGCCCCTAGCAGCTAATCACATAAAGATGCGACAAGGACTCTCCTCCATGGGTGGAGTACTTTGTTCTAGCAGGAGTCTTTCCTTATAACATTAATCTGTTTGCAATATAATAGCAGTTTTCTGCCTGGAATTTGAGGATGAGTGGCCTGTATGGAAGGACTGAAAGGAATGTTTCCACATTTTTTAATCACTGAATTTGGAATAGAGGGCAAGGATCTAGCTAGCCATGTATATCCGGGTGTTGAACTTGAGCCCATGGACCAAATCAAACCTGCCCTGGGGCCAAACATGGTGCTTGGGGATTGCCCAAATGGCTAAGTCCCCATCCTTTGGCACATTTTCCCTGTTTTAAAGAGGTTGAAAAGTCCCTTCTAAGTAGCTGACAGTAAGAGAGTTAAGCTAAAACACATAGGAAGTTGCGGTATTTCATTCCTCCTCGCCAGTGGAATGAGGCTTCCCAAGAGCTTGAGAAACTGAATTGGATCTTTCAGCAAAAGAGGTTGAACATGCCTGACTAATATGAACAAACTGTGCAGTAGCTATTTGGTTGTAACGCTTGAGAAAAAAGCTAGCTCCTTAGAAAGTAGATAAAATATTCCCCTCTGGTCCATTTCCAGATACAATCCAACATGCTGGCTAATGGCCATCACCTTGAATTTATTTATTTATTCATTTAGAGAGTGAGAGCACAAGGAGATTAAACATCACTCCATTAAGATGTGGTCCAAGTTAAAATAGTAGTTAAGACATCTCAAAAGCTAACACTATACTCATTAGTAATTTAAGCTGCTAAGAAGAGCAGTTTAAACCCAACAGTTTAAAACCAGACACTGTATAAAACATTAAAAGGTTCAGCTGCTTAATTAAACACATCTTGGAATAAATGGACTTTTCAAGGCCTGTTTTAAAGCCAACTCTGAAGGAAGGTGGCATAAATGGCTTAGGAACACAGTACCAGAAGGATCTCCCTGTATTCTCCACAGTAATTGAGCTGCTCTCTGAAGCCACCTGGCAGGGCCCCTTTGACCGAGCCCCTCCCCAAAATTCACAGATTTAGGTGTCCCCAGCAACCATAAAGGCCTTTTTGGCTGTGGCACCAGGTAAGTGGACTTTCCTGACCCAGAAGCTCATGCTTTCTCCATCTTAGTCATTGTTTCATTGCTCTTTTTTAAAGCCAGTTTTTCCAGGGTGGCTTTGATCTTTCTGCAAAGGTTTGCCAGAGTTTTATTGCTGCTTTCTATGTTTTAGAGATCTATTCTTTCTTTCTTTTAATGATGTTGCTTGCTGGTTTATTCTTTTTATATGATAGGGGCACCTCCATTTTGAAGCAGGGAACAGAATATACATTTTTGTGTAAACAAATGCCATTTTTAAAATGCGGATTCCTGCTCATCTGCTCCACCCATTACCACATATGCAAGTTAAGTTACTAACTTTGGTGTAAGACTTTTGCAGATTTAATAAGTAACTAAGTATCTGTGATTAGAATACCAGCCATCACAAGTCTTTGTTTCAGCAAAGTAGCTGTAGAGTTCAAAGTCCACAAATAGATTAGAATACACACACTCTCTCTCTCTATGGTTTCACCTGACTGATAAATATAATCAGCTGATAATCTACCTGAAACATTCTCTGCAAGATTTTGTTGAAGCACATGCTTTTTCACTTGTCAAAAACTACAATGTATTACTTTAAATATTTTTACCACTCCCTACACCTTTTGTGATTGAATTGTGATTGCCAGCCTGCAATAGATACTGTATATATACAAGATGCATTATTATTTTGGCATTATATTCACCTAGGCACTATTCAGTCAATCAGTATCCCAGCTTAATAAGCCCAGACAGGACTAGCAGAAACAAAGCCAGTGCACTTTCCTTTTTTCATAAACTAAAAACCACCCAGGAAATCTTCCATTAAGCAGATTTTCCATCTTGTCTGAATGGGAAACTGCAGTTACAAGCAAGGATATTAAACCAACTTCAAACCATGGTTTACGATATTGATGGTTCAGAACTCCTAACAGTGGTTTACCAATATGGACTAAACAGGAATGTATCATTAATTACTGTATATATGGGCCAGTGGTAGTCTGCAAACTCCATTGGGTTAGCCCATTGAAAGAATGGCCCTGCACACAATTTATTTTGCTGCTGATGGATACTGGGTGAGATCTTTCTGACAAGGGCAAGATTATTTAAAAGGCTAGTAAGGCCTTGAGCAATAGTGTATTCAGAGATTCATCCACTGCCTAGTTCACATCATCTGTTTGGACCATCACAGAGGCTCTTAGTTAACCCTGGTGGCGACCGTGGCAATGCAAACATGCCCCCTGACACATTACTTGGCTCTTACAGGCTATTCCACTGGCCCTCCTACCCAGCTTATTCCTATCAGGACAGGCAGTCACACAGTGTGAAAAAACACTCAGTTTGTTTCTATAAGGGTTATCTGTAGCTCAATGGTACAGCACACGCCTTGCTTCCCAAGGGCCCCAAGGTCCAGTCCCTGGCACCAGCAGATGGAACTGGGAAAGACTCCTTTTTGAAATGCAGCCACTGTCATCTCTCCCAAGACTGGGAGATGTGTTGACTGCTCTCTTACTGTGATCATGGCTCAACCAAGAAGCGGCTCCTCCAGAAACCAGGCCCTAACACCTCGCCCCAGGGAGGTCCTTTCGCAGTTATACTCAACTACTCTAGTTGCCCCTTTCTGTACCTCTCAGCTCTAAATTACCCTTTTTTAGGTGCAATGACCAGGATGGTACACAATGTTCTAAACACTGTGGTATCAACACATATTTTTCTAAGGGGAGTATGAATTTGGCAGTTTCATTTTCAGTTCATGTCCCAATTATACCTAACATGGAATTTGCCTTTTTCTCAGCAGCCACACATTGGCTTGACATTTTCATTAGGCAGTTGGCTACAACACCAAGATCCTTTTCCTGGGCAGTTACTGAGGTATCAGCAACTTGCATTTGAAGCTGGGATTGTTTGTCCCTATCTGTATAACTTTACACTTGCTTATACTGAACGACCATCTCGAGGCTCAGTTTGGAGAGATCTTTTTGGAACACCTCATAATCTCAGTTTGCTTTAGAGAAGACATTTCCTCACCTTATCGGCAATTAAAAAAAAAAGATTGTGTGCAAACTTGGATTTTTTTTTCAGCTGCAGAATATGTGGTCATAGGAGGAGAGGTGCAGTTAAACAAAGGATATGTAAACAATGAGATTAATGAATGGAAGCCATGAGGAAGAGAGACGTACACCGTATCTGTGTGTAATGGCGGTGTTAAGGGCCAAATCATAATTTAACTGTGAACACACAATTTCCAGCTATAACCTATGAATGACATGGCATTTATATATTCCTACTCTTGTGTCAAACTGTGTCAGTTGTGGGTTAAACAATCCAAAATTAATCCAAAAAATAGGTTAAGTTTGGATTATTTAACTCAGAACCCAACATAAAGTGTCCAGGTTTTTACATGATGGTAACATCCTGCAAATGCCACATTTGTAACTTGTTGCTAGAAATGGCTTGTACACATTCCTGCAATTCATGGATTAATTAATCCACAATTTGCTACCAAACTTTGCTGTTATGTAACAGTCCCTAAGCTTCATGCCAATTCCTAAAGCTGTCCCTTTTCAGTATTTCCACAGTCATAAGGACTAGAACCTTGTTTAATCTTTAAGTATAAAAGTACAGATGGCCTGCTTTTCCTTTTAATAGGCTGTATAACAGGTAGCTCGACAGAAACAGCTTTGGTCACTGAAGGAAAAATAGCTATGTTGGTTGAACCTCTTCTTGCCACAAAGTTATTAAGGACACAATTCTGTGGCTGCTGTGCACTGTCTAAAATTCCACAGGAAAATCCAGAGGCTCAACTCTGACCTTGGAAAAGCATTCAGGGAGTGCCCTTGCCCTGCCCTCACCTCAATTCTAGTTCTTTTGTGTTGCTTGCAGCTCCAGAGTTGAAAGTACAACTTTGTAGCTGGCAGTGGAGGGAAAGGGAGGGAAGGAGCAAGTCTCTGCCAGGATAGGAAGCCCTTCTCCTTGTGATCAGTGATAAAATAATTCTTACTGGATGTGAATAATCCTCCACTCAGAGGGTTACAAGCAGCCATGCTGAATGGTAACCTCAAGTTACAGGATTGTTCTGTGGATCTATCTTTCCTCTTAAAGATTCCACACACAGAGGTAGCCCTTTTCATATGAAGCTGCTGCATTCCAGGGCGGACACTTGGTCTTTCCAATCCAGAATTCCCTACTGTAAGTGGCAGAAACTCTCCAGGGTCTCATGCTGGGATTTTGCACACAACCTGCAACTTCTGATCCCTATTTTGAAGCTGAGATGACAGATGTTGTAGCTGGAAACTTCTGTGTGCAAAGCACAAGCCCTTCAAAGGGGGGGAGGGGTCACATGCAAAAGAAAGCAATGCTCCTGCACTTAAAAATGTTTACTGATGTACCTTGTTTGTTTGTTTAAAGCTTTTGTATACCATCCTATTATACAAAATCTCAGGATGGCTTACAATACTTAAAGGCACAAGAGCCCTCTTCTCTTGCAATGTGCTACAGCAAGCAACAGCAGAGTGGAGCAGGAAGGAAACCACAAGACTTTCTACATAGGCACCAAGTTATGGAAGCTAACACACACACACACACACACACACACACACACACCTGGTTCTTAGACATGCCACGTTGAAGACTGGCTCACACATACACATATACATCACTTAATTTTTCTGCACTTAATTCTCAGCAAAAGCACTGCACTGGCAATGACAGAGAGAACAGGGGGAAGGAGGGTGTTGTATCTATGAAAGCCCATTTGGGTCTGAAAATCTTGACTCAGGCTTACCATCACCAGATAAAAACCATGCACGTATTGAAGCAGGATTTACAACATAACTTGATGATATTTGTGGGAAATACTTTCAGTTAAGTTTGCTCAGAATTGCTGCCTTAATTTGCATGCGT